AAAAAAAAAAAAGGGTGGGGGAGCACTGTAGCTCAAGAGAGGCAGGAGGATTGCCTGAGCCCAGGGGTTTGAGACCAGTCTGAGTAACACGGCAAGACCTCCTCGCTACAATAAAAAAGAAAAAGGAAAAAAAATTAGCTGGGCATGGTGGCACACACCTGTGCCTCCAGCTACTTGGAAGGCTGATGCAGAAGTATCATCTGAGCCCAGCAGGTCGAGGCTGCATTCGCCATTAAGTGTGCCACTGAACTCCAGCCTGGGTGACAAAGTGAGATGCAAGAAAAGAAAGAAGGCAAGAGGTCAGGCCCGGTGGCTCAGGTCTGTAATCCCAGGACTTTAGGGTGCAGAGGTGAGAGGATTGCCTGAGCCCACGGGTTTGAGACCAGCCCGGGCAACTTGGTGAGATCTCATCTCTACAATAAATCAAAAAAAGTATCCAGGAATGGTGGTGCGTGCCTGTAGTTCCAGCTACTTGGAAGGCTGAGGCTGAAGGATAGCCTGAGTCCAGCAGGTCGAGACTGTAGTGACTGTAAGCATGCCACTGCACTCCAGCCTGGGCAACAGAGTGAGACTCCAGCTCAAAAAAAAGGAGAGAGAGGGAGGGAAGAGAAGGAAAGGAAGAAAACCTGTAATTTCATGTCCTACTCCTGTCCATCCAAATTCACTATATTTAGACTAGTGACTTTCAAGTTTTTTTGACCATTACAAATTAAAACATATAATCTAAGTAATATTCTTTTTTTTTTTAGTTGGAATCTCACTCTGTAGTCTAGGCTGGAGTGCGTGGCACACTCACGGACACCCCAGCATTGACCTGCTCCAGCAATCCTTCCACCTCAGTCTTCCAAGTAGCTGGAAATACAGGCATGCACTACCATGCCCAGCTAATTTTTTTTTTAATTGTAGAGATGAGGTCTTGCCAACTTGCCTGGGCTGGGCTCGAACCCTTGGGCTCATGCAATCCACTCACATAGGCCTCCCAAAGTGCTGAGATTACAGGTTGAGCCACCAAGCCTGGCCAATACTATTCTTGAAATATGTGCAATGGCTGGGCGCAGTGGCTCACGCCTATAATCCCAGCACTTTGGGAGGTTGAGGTGAGAGGACTGCCTGAGCCCATGGGTTTAAGACCAGCTTAGGCAACTTGGCGAGACATCTCTACAATAAATTAAAAAAAATTAGCCGAGCATTGTGGCGCATGCCTGTAGTTCCAGCTACTTGGAAAGCTGAGGCAGAAGGATTGCCTGAGCACAGCAGATGGAGGCTGCAGTGGCTGGGAACGTGACATTGCCCTCCAGCCTCCAGCCTGGGTGAGAGAGTAGGACTCCAACTCCAATTCCAAAAAAAGAAATATGTGCAATATACTCTAAATTTTTTTTCTTTTGTAGTACTGATGACTCCCAACCTATAGGTTCAGACCCACAAATGAAATGGCTGGGTGTGGTGGCTTATACCTACAATCCCAGCACTTTGGGAGGCCGAGGTGAGAGGATTGCCTGAGCCCACGAGTTCAAGACCAGCCTAGGCAACTTGGCAAGCCCTCATCTCTACAATAAATCAAGAAAAATTAGCCGGGCGTGATGGAGCACACCTGTAGTTCCAGCTACTTGAAAGGCTGAGGCAGAAGGATTGCCTGAGCCCAGCAGGTCAAGGATATGGTGGCTGTGAGCATGCCACTGTGCTCCAGCCTGGGCAACAGAGTGAGACTCCAACTCAGAGAAAAAAAAAAGAAAAACTCCCATGACAATGGCCTCCTCTTGGCATCTCATGCATGTTGGGCTTTATCAAACTGCAGGCCCTGTGCTCTTGCTGCTCCTTTTTATCCCTCATTCATCTCTAGAATGAGCCATTGCTGGCTTATCATTTTTTTGAGCTGGACTCTCACTCTGTCGCCCAGGCTGGAGTGCAGTGGCCGCTCCCGGCCACTGCAGCC